CTTTAATAATAGATATATCAATGAAACTGAGACTTTAACGTGATAGTATGTACCACATCTCACAAGGAAGGAATCAGTTCTACTCGTCATTCATAATGATTGATACTGGCGGCACAATATGCAGGAAGGAAATGTGAACTCTAAATTGCTTTTATTACAGTTGTTGCCATATCTGTGGCCATGATTGATGACAACCTATTCTGGTATGCATACAACAGAATTGACAAAATTCACATTTCCAAAAAAGTATTTTTATCTATAAACAATACGCAATTCACACTGATTTCTAACAAAAGAACATCTCTATTCTTACATTTTATATAACTAAAAATTTAATTATATGTTGGATAATAAATAGAAATTTTTAACAGCCAATATATGCATGGAGTTAATCAAAATTAGATTTAAAAATTAATATAATTTCTTTTGATGTAATGCAATTTGTGTGCATGAATAAAGTGCATTTCGGAAAAAGAACTTTGCTTTTAAATATGTCAATTGTGTTAAGTTGTAAATGGCAATATGGATAACAAAAATTTTGGAGTTTAATTAAATACGAGAGAAATTTTTATTTTAGATATAAAATTTTTTAAAAGTTAAATTCAATAAGTAAGTAAGAAATTGTTATATAAATGAAAATTTAAATATTATTTTTAAATATACATCATATAAGACAGATAATTAAATATCNTCAATAACGTTAAACTTTTTTAGTATCAATAACGTTAAACTTTTTTCATGCTGCAAATTTGCATTATATCATCATTATGCAAATATTTATTATATACTGTATACAGCTAGAATAAATTAAATATATGTCATGTACTTATTAATATAAAGTTTATAGAAAGAAAATTCATTAATTAATATTAACATAAATAATTATGAGTGTTAATTAAATGATAAATTTAACATAGACAACTTTAAGAAATACAACTATTTAAATTAATATATTTGCATTATCACAGGTAATTTGTATATTTTTTATAATAAATTATTAAAAAAATATTTAGGTGCACTCCAGTTTTTTATAAATTCATGTTGTTTTTTTTTAAACTCAATATTAGACCATTACAAAATTTAGCATTTAAACATTTATTGCAAGTATTTACTTTCTAATTCAAATATTATTCTTGTTTTGTATTGTATATTTCTGAATAAAACAATATTTTAAAAATAACTCTTGTTAATTAAATATATTAAAATTTCATGATATTTTTTTAAGAAAGAAATTCTATTAAATTCATATATTTTTTTCACAACTCTTTTGCAAAACACTGATTCATAAATAGAAGAGAAAAGTCCCTTCTGTATACAATTTCATATAAAAAATTTATTAAGTTAATAGTTAATAAAATCATTTACAAATATCATACTCTATTACTAACTTTGTTATAATAATTCTAGAATCAATATACAGAATATTTGTTTAATTAATTATATTTATTATATTAATTATGAAATATTTTATTAATTCCAATGAGTAATTATTGTAGCCAGGCACTGTCACAATGCCAAGCTACAATTTTTAATCATATTTTTAATTTATTTAATTTAAAATATATGTTCTCCATCTCAAATTAGTAGTGGTTTGCCTCTGTACATCATACTTTTCATTTAACAATAGAATCATGCTGGTCATCTATTAACTACTTTCAGGGGGAAGTTTAGAATTGAAATACAGTGGGTGATCAGTTAACAAACAGATCAGTTAATGAACAAATCAGATAATGAACACTTTTGCTAAAGATTTTTATGATCAGAAACGAACACATGTTTGGATAAAGAACACTTCACTGAACAAACATAAAAGGAAGCGACGAAAATAGCAAATACTGACTGATTTTCCTTTGTTTTCAGGTAACATTTTGGAGCGCGGGAGACGTCAATGTCTCCCGCACTCCAAAATGTTACCTGAAAGCACAACCCGGTATATGCTGATCAGATAGTATTCCTCGAACTTTGAAATACTCCCTTGTAATTCCAGCCTTTTATTTTTCTGACAAATAATTCTTTTATAGTATTTGCGAGACTGTCAGGCGGGCACTCATTAAGATTTGCGTTGGTTTTTATTTTCGAAAGGTGAGAGTATAATAGCAAAGGTAGAGAGTGGGCAGTATGGCTTGAACAAATCTACAGTAGGGTGCAGTTCAATCTTATCTAAGAAAGATACTGTACTGTATAATTAAGAAAACTCAAGCAGCTAAAGGAGTAACAAATATCACATCTGAGAAATAAAGAACATTGAAGAACTCATAATGGAACCTGAAACAGATCTGATGACAGAAGAATGCCAAGAACTCTTGAATGAAGAACACGAAGAAACTCGATGAGATATGTTTCATTATGAAAAAGAGGATTAATACTGATATCTGCTATTAATTAAAGATCTTTTGAAGAAGTGGGGGATGTCAGATCAACGGTCTTAGAATGGCATACAAACCAGGTTGAGGTTAATAGACTTGGGGATCTCTACAATTACAATGCTATTAATTCTGAAAATCCTGAAGAAGAGAGAAAAGCAATCGACATTAGGCAGATTATTTAACCCCCACAAACAAAAAAACATGAGTAATAAAAATGCAAGTCTGTGTATATATATGTATTTTTAATATTACATATAAATAAACATAGTAAGAAAGTATATATATTTTATTTTTTGGGGTCTCCAGAATAAATTAATCAAATTCCCATACAAACCTATGGTAAATTGATAATTGGTTAACGAACAATTCGGATAGTGAACAAAGTCTTGGAATGGATTATGTTCGCTAACCGATCACTCACTGTAATATGACTTGCAGTTTGCATTGGAAGTTCATATATATCAATAGTTAATCAGGGGCTACTGTCCTTAAGGTTTCCATATCTGGTCTTGAATTTTGTCTAACTCCGTTCTTGAAAGACAGATAGATGGACAGATGACCGACAGTGGGAATATATAAGTCTACAATTTTTTCAAATTGCAGCCCAAAAATCAGTCACTAAATTCTATTTTATCAGTTCTAAAAACAACAGCCTCCCAAAAATTGCAATTATGTATAATAAATCCTCACTTAATATTGTCACTAAGTTCTTGGAAATGCAACTTTAAGTAAACTAACATACAATGGAAAACAATTTCTATTATAGATGAATTGATATAAAAAGAGTTACATTTCTACAGCATAATTCTTATTACAAAAACATTATGAAACTTCTAAATAAAGATACAAAACACTTCTAATATTAAACATTGAAATGAATTTAAGCTATATATACATTTAAGAAAGATTAATAAAAACAAACAAGTTTATTATTATTAATTTTTTTCATTTTTGACTCTTTCTGCATTGTGGTCACTAATAGAATATTTTTTCCTCATCAAACAAACAATAGGTTTGATCAGGAGAAAAATCTGTATGGTCAATTACATGGTAATGGACAGAGCCAACATATCCAGGTCAGACAACCCATGAAAAATTCTTAAGGTATTTTGACTACTCAGATTCAATCCCAAGCCACAGAATGGTAAGCTAAAACCTTAATGATCTCAGCCATTTGGCCAATAAAAGTTTACAAGTTAATTATTTCCCCAATTTTTGGTAAATCAGCAAATGATAGTCAGTGGTATGGAAAGGGATTCTTAACTCTCATCATTAATGACAGGTAAAGATGAGAAGAAAATGAATGATTTCAAAATTAAAATTGTAAAGAGCACCTCATCGCCACACAGTTCAAAAACAAACAATTGGCAATTGCAAAAAATTATAAAGGACATTGATGGACATTGTATAAATTTAAAATGGTGAATACAAATAGGACAAGTTTGTTTACAATTTGCATTGAAACTAAATGATGGCATATATGATGTTACTGTGGATAGGTTCACATTATTTGAAAAAGGTGAAGGTATAATGAATAAATAATACAAATTATATTAATCAGATTTCAAGAAAAAAATTTAGTTATTATTATTATTATTGAATTATGTTGCAATCTCAGCATTTATTTTCCACCTCACAGAATCAATTTTACCATTTATAAAAAAAATTCAACAACAATAATTAAGTGATTATAAATGTACTTTTATTTTTTCTCAACAACATTATAGCAAAATAATATTAAATGAGGACTTACTGTATTCAAATACAACCTACTCACATTTGGAAAGAGATTTAAACAAGTAAATACAGTGGAACCCCACGAGTTAACGAACGTCCTGGTTAATGACCAAATCGGTTAACGAACTATTATTTTGCAAAAATTTTGTCTCGGATAACGAACAAAATTCGGATAACGAACTTAACGGCTTTTTGTGTCAAATTTGTAAGCTTGCAGACTTTTAGGGAAAATCAGTTAATCGNATAATAACATTTTTCTTATATTTTTAAAAATCAAATGAAAATTAAATAAAAATGAAATTTAGCTTTCAACAAAAGTATTTGCTAATTAAAGATAAGAATTAAGCCACACAAAAAGAATCATTATTTTCTTTAATTTGCTGGGTGTGGGAAATGATTCTTTCATTAACTTTTATGTAGAGTATTAACAGTGAAGTCCTCACAATAAAAGGAACTGTGACAAGAGTTAGTTTAATGACATACTCATTAAACAATTACATTTGACCTTCTGGTGACATTGGAGTTCCACTTCTCTTGTTTATATACAAAAATACATTTATCACATTAATGAATAATAAAGTGAATGGAAATGTTGTAACCACACTGTTTTCTTGCACATTACATTGATAAGTACTTAAGACAAAAGTAAAGAATAAAATTATAAAATAATTGTGTGTAAAATATTAAAATTTTGATCTTTTTTGAATTATTGATTGCTTTGACTTTTATATTTTTATTATAATTATCTTCTAAATTAATTTGTATTTATTTTGTTATGTAATAATGTGATTAATATTAATTTTCCAAATTAAAAATTAATATAAAGGTTAGAAAATTTAAAGTAATAAAATATACAAAGATGACTCAAAAACAACAGATGTTAAAACTATACCAAGATTTTTATTGAGTTAATATGAACTATACAACATTTATATTGATATTTGTAACTGTTACAAAGTGTACAATTTAAACACATATATAAATATATTTTTATGTACAAAAGCACTATTAACAAAGCTAAAAATCAATGTAACTTTGTTTTGAAATTAACCCGATTACTGTTCTATAAATAATAATAATAAATTCATAATTTTGGCAAATTATCGTCTTACAATTTCTGTTTGATGATATCTTGTGCAACATGAAACAGAAAGGGGATGTTTGTAACAGAATATCTAAATTGCTTTTATTACAGTTGTTGCCATATCTCTAGTGGCTTTTGTTGTGATTGATGATAACATGGTTTGATAGTTAGTGCTCAAACCTGACATATGATGAAAATATTCTTCTTTTTCCACTTGTACAGTAAAATTAACAAAGCCAATGTCTTTAAATATTGTTTGAATCTGAAAAATAATAATAATTGTTATTATTAATAGCATATAAAACATTTTATGTAAAAAAAAAGAAATTCAAATACAACAAATTATTTAAGTTTTATTTCAAAATTTACATTAAGAAATGATAACAAATTTGATATTCATGTTTGAAACAATTTTCAATTTTATATACAATTAGCTGAATTGTTTCGTTTCTATACCAAATTTGAGATTAATAAACAGCTATAAAGTCTGTTAATTCACAGATAAATTGGTTTCATTGTTATAATGCATTCACTTCAGTGTATAGAAGTTACTTGACAAACTTATGAAATTCATAGAAAATTTGAGTACAAACAGTTCATCAATAGATATTTTTATAACTGAAATGGCTGATTGACAGAATATCATTTGTAAAAAATGATTTTATAGCTTGAATTAAAGAAATGATTGAAACACTAAAATCTCAATGAGATATTACAACTTATATTTTGCTTTTACTTATATATATTATATTATTAACTTTCACTTATATTATATTCCCAAAAATAAATTCTGTATTTCTCTTTTCAAAACTGAATAAACTAAATAATCAAATAAAATTGCACAGTCAAAACAACTGAAATATTTACCTGATTTATAATTTTCTGTTCGCTAGCATCCGGTTTAACTTGAACATGAATAGTACCAGCTTTTATGACTGCAGAATGTTGCCAAAAATGTTGATTACTATAGGAAAGGACACCGTCTACAGTCATTACCTACATTCCAATATAAAATAAATTATTATTAATTAAATAAATTCACAAAAAGCAAAATTTTTTTTCCATTAAAATTAATTTAAAATTACCTTATTAAGAGCTGAAGATATTTCCTTTTCAAGTGCTCTGGGTACCCTTAATAACAAAACCAATGAAGAATGTTTTAGTAGTGGTAAAACACTTAAGAATATTAGAATTGAAATAAACAGAGAACAAATTGGATCTGCGATATAATAACCAAAGTGCTCTATCAATAATGATGATGAAATGACTCCGATGCTTCCTAATGTATCCGCCAAGATATGTAGAAAAACACCTACAAATAAATAAATAGAATAATTTAATATAAAGACATTTATTACCTAAAAGATAATATAACATTAGGGATAAAAAAAATTTCCTAATAAAAACTTTACGTGGTATACTTATACTAACATTATCGAAGTATTAAAATTTTTGTCTCATTCCGCTTTACGTAATAAATAGCATTAACTTTATAAGAATTTTTGAGTGGATTTTAAAGTTGATCCACTTTGAAAAATGAGAGTTGCCAGAGAATTCATAAATCAAAAATCAGACTAGAATGACAAAACACAAAATGATTGATACATGATTTATGACCCCAATAACGTTGATATAATGCTAAAAAACATTGCTAATTTTTATATTAGTACAAAATTTAGATATGAATAAATCTATTTGTATAATATGAAAATAATTAGTTTAAAAAATTTATTAAAAATAAATTAAATTACAGTTTTTATTTTTCTTATTTTGAATTTATAAATAATAACGATAATAATAATATACAGTATTTAGCTCTTACATGCATATTGTCATTATTAAAAATTTACTATTATTTAATATTTGTTTTTTTTTATGTACGCAACAATTTTTATGCATTTACTTGTAGAAATAATTTTTTAAAAATTATTTTAAAATCCACAATAGATACATATAAAAATATTACAAAATGTAAAACACAAAAAAAAAGGAAGATTTTTCTATGTAGAGCCTTCTATAACACAACTGTATTTGAGAATCCTTGTTTAACTCCAATAAGTCATTTTTGTAGAAAATGGACTAACACTTTTGATCCTTCTCCCTCTTTGTATCTTAGGTTTGTACTTTTATACGAAAATCTGGACCTAAAGAAGATCCAAAGAGAGAGAAAGATTGAAAGTGTAAGTCCGTTTTCTACAAAAAGGACTTATTGGAGTTAAACAAGGATTCTCAAATACAGGTGTGTTACAGAAGGCTCTACATAGAAAAATCTTCCTTTTTTTGTGTTTTACATTTTGTAATATTTTTATATGTATCTATTGTGGATTTTAAAATAATTTTAAAAAAATTATTTCTACAAGTAAATGCATAAAAATTGTTGCGTACATAAAAAAAAACAAATATTAAATAATAGTAAATTTTTAATAATGACAATATGCATGTAAGAGCTAAATACTGTATATTATTATTATCGTTATTATTTATAAATTCAAAATAAGAAAAATAAAAACTGTAATTTAATTTATTTTTAATAAATTTTTTAAACTAATTATTTTCATATTATACAAATAGATTTATTCATATCTAAATTTTGTACTAATATAAAAATTAGCAATGTTTTTTAGCGTTATATCAACGTTATTGGGGTCATAAATCATGTATCAATCATTTTGTGTTTTGTCATTCTAGTCTGATTTTTGATTTATGAATTCTCTGGCAACTCTCATTTTTCAAAGTGGATCAACTTTAAAATCCACTCAAAAATTCTTATAAAGTTAATGCTATTTATTACGTAAAGCGGAATGAGACAAAAATTTTAATACTTCGATAATGTTAGTATAAGTATACCACGTAAAGTTTTTATTAGGAAATTTTTTTTATCCCTAATGTTATATTATCTTTTAGGTAATAAATGTCTTTATATTAAATTATTCTATTTATTTATTTGTAGGTGTTTTTCTACATATCTTGGCGGATACATTAGGAAGCATCGGAGTCATTTCATCATCATTATTGATAGAGCACTTTGGCTATTATATCGCAGATCCAATTTGTTCTCTGTTTATTTCAATTCTAATATTCTTAAGTGTTTTACCACTACTAAAACATTCTTCATTGGTTTTGTTATTAAGGGTACCCAGAGCACTTGAAAAGGAAATATCTTCAGCTCTTAATAAGGTAATTTTAAATTAATTTTAATGGAAAAAAAATTTTGCTTTTTGTGAATTTATTTAATTAATAATAATTTATTTTATATTGGAATGTAGGTAATGACTGTAGACGGTGTCCTTTCCTATAGTAATCAACATTTTTGGCAACATTCTGCAGTCATAAAAGCTGGTACTATTCATGTTCAAGTTAAACCGGATGCTAGCGAACAGAAAATTATAAATCAGGTAAATATTTCAGTTGTTTTGACTGTGCAATTTTATTTGATTATTTAGTTTATTCAGTTTTGAAAAGAGAAATACAGAATTTATTTTTGGGAATATAATATAAGTGAAAGTTAATAATATAATATATATAAGTAAAAGCAAAATATAAGTTGTAATATCTCATTGAGATTTTAGTGTTTCAATCGTTTCTTTAATTCAAGCTATAAAATCATTTTTTACAAATGATATTCTGTCAATCAGCCATTTCAGTTATAAACATATTTATTGATGAACTGTTTGTACTCAAATTTTCTATGAATTTCATAAGTTTGTCAAGTAACTTCTATACACTGAAGTGAATGCATTATAACAATGAAACCAATTTATCTGTGAATTAACAGACTTTATAGCTGTTTATTAATCTCAAATTTGGTATAGAAACGAAACAATTCAGCTAATTGTATATAAAATTGAAAATTGTTTCAAACATGAATATCAAATTTGTTATCATTTCTTAATGTAAATTTTGAAATAAAACTTAAATAATTTGTTGTATTTGAATTTCTTTTTTTTTACATAAAATGTTTTGTATGTTATTAATAATAACAATTATTATTATTTTTCAGATTCAAACAATATTTAAAGACATTGGCTTTGTTAATTTTACTGTACAAGTGGAAAAAGAAGAATATTTTCATCATATGTCAGGTTTGAGCACTAACTATCAAACCATGTTATCATCAATCACAACAAAAGCCACTAGAGATATGGCAACAACTGTAATAAAAGCAATTTAGATATTCTGTTACAAACATCCCCTTTCTGTTTCATGTTGCACAAGATATCATCAAACAGAAATTGTAAGACGATAATTTGCCAAAATTATGAATTTATTATTATTATTTATAGAACAGTAATCGGGTTAATTTCGAAACAAAGTTACATTGATTTTTAGCTTTGTTAATAGTGCTTTTGTACATAAAAATATATTTATATATGTGTTTAAATTGTACACTTTGTAACAGTTACAAATATCAATATAAATGTTGTATAGTTCATATTAACTCAATAAAAATCTTGGTATAGTTTTAACATCTGTTGTTTTTGAGTCATCTTTGTATATTTTATTACTTTAAATTTTCTAACCTTTATATTAATTTTTAATTTGGAAAATTAATATTAATCACATTATTACATAACAAAATAAATACAAATTAATTTAGAAGATAATTATAATAAAAATATAAAAGTCAAAGCAATCAATAATTCAAAAAAGATCGAAATTTTAATATTTTACACACAATTATTTTATAATTTTATTCTTTACTTTTGTCTTAAGTACTTATCAATGTAATGTGCAAGAAAACAGTGTGGTTACAACATTTCCATTCACTTTATTATTCATTAATGTGATAAATGTATTTTTGTATATAAACAAGAGAAGTGGAACTCCAATGTCACCAGAAGGTCAAATGTAATTGTTTAATGAGTATGTCATTAAACTAACTCTTGTCACAGTTCCTTTTATTGTGAGGACTTCACTGTTAATACTCTACATAAAAGTTAATGAAAGAATCATTTCCCACACCCAGCAAATTAAAGAAAATAATGATTCTTTTTGTGTGGCTTAATTCTTATCTTTAATTAGCAAATACTTTTGTTGAAAGCTAAATTTCATTTTTATTTAATTTTCATTTGATTTTTAAAAATATAAGAAAAATGTTATTATGATATTTAATTATTTGTCTTATATGATGTATATTTAAAAATAATATTTAAATTTTCATTTATATAACAATTTCTTACTTACTTATTGAATTTAACTTTTAAAAAATTTTATATCTAAAATAAAAATTTCTCTCGTATTTAATTAAACTCCAAAATTTTTGTTATCCATATTGCCATTTACAACTTAACACAATTGACATATTTAAAAGCAAAGTTCTTTTTCCGAAATGCACTTTATTCATGCACACAAATTGCATTACATCAAAAGAAATTATATTAATTTTTAAATCTAATTTTGATTAACTCCATGCATACATTGGCTGTTAAAAATTTCTATTTATTATCCAACATATAATTAAATTTTTAGTTATATAAAATGTAAGAATAGAGATGTTCTTTTGTTAGAAATCAGTGTGAATTGTGTATTGTTTATAGATAAAAATACTTTTTTGGAAATGTGAATTTTGTCAATTCTGTTGTATGCATACCAGAATAGGTTGTCATCAATCATGGCCACAGATATGGCAACAACTGTAATAAAAGCAATTTAGAGTTCACATTTCCTTCCTGCATATTGTGCCGCCAGTATCAATCATTATGAATGACGAGTAGAACTGATTCCTTCCTTGTGAGATGTGGTACATACTATCACGTTAAAGTCTCAGTTTCATTGATATATCTATTATTAAAGTACGAATATAACCACAAATACGAAGAAATAGTTTTATTTCTAAAGTTTACTCGTATAATATATATCTATTGTATATATAAATTATTTTTTAAGTTCTTTAAAACTTATAAAATTGCATTTCTTTTTCAGTTTCTTGTGAATTCTGTCAGATCAACCCTCTCTTTTTTATTATTATTATTCTTTTGAAGCAGTTTATTTTTTAGTTTGAAGTTTGCGTGTATCATCCTTCTTAAGTTATTTGATAGAATACATTATTTAATTTCTCTATTATTACTTAAAAATCTGCATTTCTTTTATTTAACGCTTTGATAAATGTCATAAATTTGATTATGTTTCTTATCTTGGAAATTCTTTATGTTACTCAATAATTTTTAAATAATCCAATAATAACTTTTACAGATAATGGAAATTATTCTAAAAAGTAGATTTTTATTAAATCAAAATTTTGCTATTATCCTCACTACTTTGATTAAATAATTAAAGAAAAAGAAAGGAAAGAAAGAGAGAGAGAGAAAAGTG